CTGGTGTTTTGGAGAACTTCGACCACCGACTGAAAGCCCTCCCCTCACTCTCAACCCTTTGCCTGCTGGAGATGATCTTGAACGTCCTCGTGTGGAGAACCTGCAGATGTTTACTCGCTTCTTTTCCGGGCTGGTGAGGGCTCGGCTCGCCAGGCTGCTAGAGGGGATGGCGGTGAACAGTCTTGGGGGAGATGATGGGGGGTTGCCCTCCCAGCTTGGTGATTGGTTTCAGAGCCAGTTTAGAAGCCGGAATCTCCCCAATCAGATGACTCTGAACCTCCTCCACTGCCTGATGGAGCTGCACTTGCAGGAGACCACCAGCAGGGCAGCACCAGAGATCAGGAAGCTGAACCTGTTTAAGATGAAGCTGAGTGTGGTGGACTGCGCTGCCGTGCATTACGTACTGCAGTTCTCTAAACACCTCCTGAAGGAGCTCAACCTTGGCTACTCCAACATCGGCAACAAGGGCTTCAGCCGGCTCGGGCCAATCCTGCATCGCTGCGAGTCACTGTAGTGAGTGTATTTTGAGAATTCTCAGAAAAATATAACTCCTTTTACTTCAACACATCCCTCACGTGTTTTCACAGATAACTTGAAAAGACGTGTTTCTAATAAGGTGGCCAGTTAGTCCTAGGTGTTTTTAATAAAGTGGCCAGTGAGTGGAAGGTGTTTCTAATAAAGTGGCCAGTTAGTGGTAGGTGTTTTTAATAAAGTGGCCAGTGAGTGGAAAGTCTTTCTAATAAAGTGGCCAGTTAGTGGAAGTACAAGGTGGGGATTTTTAATAATGTGGAGATGTAATGTTCTGTGTTTTTCCCTCCAGCATACGCTACAATTGCTTGGGGACAGATGCTGCAATCTTGGAGTCCGCTGTTCTGAAGTCGGAGGACTGTCAGGTGAAAAAGCTCTTGTAAGTGCACCTGTGTTGGGTTCCATAATTAATCCAGTCAAGCAGAAACACTTACATTTGTGTGTATATTGGCTCTATATTGTGTATATAACAGCACAATCGATCACTCATCCGGTGCCTTTATTGTTCCTATTATGTTCTAATCCAGCATGTGTGGGAATAAGCTGGGTCCGGAGGGTGCTCGGGTGTTGTGGGAAGCCCTGGAACACAACAACACTGTGGAAGAGGTTTATCTGGACATCACCGGCATCACAGAGTCGGGCACGGAGAACCTGGTCCAGTGCCTCAGCAAGAACACAGCGCTGAAGAGTTTAACGTAAGACAGAGAGAGAGAGAGAGCGAGAGAGAGAGGGAGAGAGAGAACAGCACCCTGGATGGTAGCATAACAGCAGTTTTCTAATAGTATAAGAATACGTTCCTCACGTCCGGTTCTAGTCTCAGACTGAAAGAAAAAACTGATTAGTTGAGTCTGATGAGTATGGAAAAGTAAACACACTTACTGTGGCCATTCAAGATACTAGCTTCCTTTCTGCAGTTCACATTTCACATCGCTGTTGTGGGAAGAAAATCTCGCATCTCCAAAATGGTAACTTTACAGGAGAACGAAAACACATACTTTATTTTTAATGTAAGTCAATGGAACCAGACTTTTTTCTCAGTAATTGTAGGTCATTTCTTTTGGTCCATTCATCCTGAAATTTACACACAATGTAAAGGGCAGCAGGCTTTTTCAAATTATGTCAAAAACAAAAAAATGACAAAAATGGAGATACGAGGTTTTCTTCCGACAGCAGAGATATCCAAAACATTTAGACTATTATATCTACTAATACGGGATTAATCGGCTAATATAACTGTTCTGCCTTCTCTGGTTTCTTTCTCTTTGCTGCTGCCATTGATTCAAAATTCTGTCTTTTAAAATGCAGTGAAACAATAGAATCCATGTCGCCCCCTACGCTTCCTGTAGTGTGTTACAGTGTCGCGTAGTGTGATGTGATCTTGTGTTCCTGCAGCGTTGTGGGGAACGAGCTTGGCGACGTTGGCTGGGAGCGGCTGAGGCAGCTGGGCCGGGTCAGGCCGGACCTCCGCATCATCGGTCACTTTGTGGATGACCTGGGGCTGTTGGAGGCCTACCTGGGCTGGGTGGAGGAGATGCGGACAGACCATGACCAGATGGAGTCGGTGAAGAACGCAGACGCTCTCCAGTCTGTCCTGAAGGGCCTGTGGTTCAGCGAGGGAACCGGAGAGAACGCAGTCAAAGCCAAAGAACTGGAGACCAAAATCCTGCAGCTGCTGAAGAACAGTGAACTGTCAGCATTGAGAGCGAAATGAGGAAACTTCAAACTGAATTAACACTTCAATCAAACCAATTTACATGGAAAACTTTTACATGGAAAAAATGAAAAGGAATGGAGCACATTTAGTCAACCTGTACATAGTATATTTTTTGTATCTGCAGCAGAAATAAACGAGTACAATTGCACTATTGTATAAATTTCATGATTTCATATCTATAAACTTTACATCTATCTATCTTTCTATCTATCTATAATTTCAGAAGTTTGGAATCACTTTCTATTGGAATAACATTTTTTTTAACATTTTTGTTATTTTATAGACAATAATTACTTATACAGTGTGGACTTAAATATCCCAAACTATTTATTAAAAGGTATTTTAAGACGTTTTTTTCATTTCTATCCATCCATCCATCTTCTGAGTCGCTTATCCTTCTGGGTGGGGGGTGCTGGAGCCTTTCCAGCGTTCATCAGGTGCAAGGCAGGAAACACCCTGGACAGGTCACCAATCCATCACAGGGCAGACACATAAACATATACATTGAATTCTGTTATAAGATTTAAATATATAGAAATGAATGTACTGACATATGATATGACCCTTGACATATGATGAATTCTGGATGTTAGTTTTATTTGCTCCGGGCGCTGTGGATAGGGCTGCCCACCGCTCTGAGCAAGTGTGCTCACTGCCCCTTAGTGTGTGTATGTGGTGTTTCACTGCACAGACAGGTTAAATGTGGAGGTGAACCTCCCCGTTGTGGGATTAATAAAGAGTAACTTACTTACTTGATTCCTGAGGCTCTTCAATGTTCCTCGTTACAGACTCATTTGACATTTCTTCATTTATATTTACAGCTTCATCCTGATAATTTGAAATCTGTAAAGTTGTTCAGGGCTAAATTAGATTAAAATCATTTCATACATTTATCTGCAACCACTGGTTTTATATTATTGGAAACATTGGCCTCTTTTCCACTGTTGAGCCAAAAGGTTCTGAGGGCCGTACTGTGCCGTTCTGCGCTGGTCTGGATTTGTGAGACTGCTGAATCAGAACCAGGAGATCCTTAAGAAAACTACACAAACGAGTGGCTAACTGCTAACAGCCTAATAGCTACACACACTACATCACGTTTGATTCTGTCTGTCACCCCAACACCAGTCAGTCGACTTTGCTCTCGCTGTTATAAGTTTTTATCGTCTATATTGTGATAGCAGAGCACCAGTTAGTCAAATCAGACCCACACTGAGGTGTTTGGATCTCTTTAGCTAAGTCAGCTAGTATTAGCTTAGCTAAGAGGCTGCAGCTCCAAACGCCACAGAACAGGTTCAGTTTCAGCTTTCTGTCCCTCTAAGATCAGCCGCTCAACTTCACTACCTCAGATCTGAGTCATTATCATCTAAATTTCTGTCAGTAAAGCTTTTGTTAGTCAGAATCAAACCTGTTCTGTGGTGAGCAGAGCTGGCAGCATGCTAGCTAAGCTAACGCTAATCGGCTATTCTCTTCTAGTTAGCTAGAAATTGGTGTCAGATTGAAGCTTTACTGAACGGTGGATTTAAAATCGTACACTGCTTTAATTTCATTAATGCAGCAGGATGCTGAGGCACAGTACCAACATAAACGTAGCTAAGCCGTAACGGTTCTGTGGCCCTGAACACGCTGAGCCCGTTTTTTAGGCGTGCGAACCGTGTCCGTGTGGAAAAGCTGCAGGAACGGTTTCCTCCTGAGAATCCTCAGAGCCTAATAATATTTAAGCCCTCACACATACATCACAATTCATTATATAACACTGATCATATAATAATTAAGCCAGTTCTTCGTGTTGTGAAGGACGCACTGAGACGCTTTAGCGTTCACACTGTAAATGTTAAGTGGTCATAAATGTTACACACCTACACTCAGCACTATCCACTAATGATTGGATGACCCACGACACATGATGCCCAGTATGTGAACAGGGCGTCAGATAATAGACCGAAAATAACAGACAGAAATATGGACAAAATTCATACTTTAAAATGCTGCTACTGTGTTTAGCTATGCTAATGTACTTCAGTCCATGTTTATAGATGACAGTGAGTCATACAGAGTCAGAAACCACAGAATCAAGACTATTAGAGGTTACTAAACAACACAGTTTGAGGTGATGATTTAGGCATACAGTTAGCTCCATGCTAATTGGTGGGGCAGATCCATCATTTGTTAGCTGGATTAGCCTTGTAGCCCCAGCGCTAAAACTAAAAAAGCAAACTTCAGACACCAAACATGTCTGTGCTGATTGACTATGTTTGGGGATAAGTACAGGTCCCTTACAAAAAAGTCACATGAATTTCACATGTGAAAAATACACAAGTGGGTTTTGCTCTCATCACATGAAAACGGGTTCATGTGAAAAAATGTGATTACTTGTAAACACACTTCACACTGAGGTTTTTGCACACTTCACACGGACAATCGTGACTTTTTTGTGGGGGACGGAGTTGATTTTTCGTCAAACTATCATTTAAATAAGTTGTTATTAGGAAACAACCAAGAAATATATGTTTAAAATTGTAGTAATTTGATATCTCAAGCTGTTAAAGAAATTAGGAAGTTAAAGTTAAACTATTTATTCAATAATAATAATAATAATAATAATAATAACAATAATAATAATAACAATAATAATAATAATAATAATAATAAAACTTTATTAATATAGTGCCTTTCCAAAGCTCAAGGCCGCAACAATCCACAAATATTATTTAACTTCCTCTCTACGCGAGGACTTCTATTTTGAAAAACTCGTAAAGTTTATGATGTTTCACAGTCTCTAACTCGCCATATTGTTGTGGTTCGCTCTGGTTTCCGTGTTGTTGCTGGTTCTGATCCGCGCTGGTCCCGGCTCTACTCTCCCTCTCTGTGCCCGGGCTCCCCTCACTGCTCCCCGGCTTTTCTCCCTGAGGCTGCCCGCCATGCTGAAGCGGAGCTCCGGGTGTGTCGTTGTTGTTGTGCTGCTGTTCGGCGCCGCAGCAGCGCTGAGCCCCACATCAGCGCCTAAAGGTAAAACAGACTCGGAGCTGCGTTTAAAAGACGCTGAACTCAGATATTTTCATTCAATCTTTATTGAATCGACGTGGCTGAAATCAGCTTCTTACTCAACAGCTTCTTGTTCGAATTTTCCCGGTCCACCTTAAATGGTTCGGGCGCCAGAAGGTAACTACTGCGTCATTTAAGGTGGAACGGGAAAATTCGAACAGCAGCCTGGCGAATAAGTTTGGCCTGTCCGATTCTGGTTTCTGTTCTCATTTCTGATTTTTGGCCCTTTAACTTTGGCATGTAACGTTATATGTTGTTTTCAGAAGCAACACAACATAGCAGTAAAAGGGGAATTCCACCAAAATATCTACGTAGTTAAATTGATATAAACAAGTTCATTCCAAGTGATTTGGTGTGAAAGTTCACTGTAGAGGAAAAAGAACCAGGGGACATGATGTTAATATAGCCATTTTATTTACTATCCAGAACCACCAGTGAACCTACACGAGTCTTCTGAGTTTATATGGAATGTTGATGATGGAAAATAGTGGAAAATCTGAAATAATAAGTTTTCTTTGGGGACTATTTTGCCTCACAGCGCCCTGCATGTATCCCTCCACCATGAATGGAGTTTAAGTTCTCTAAACTATCATAAAACAGTGTCTCAGTCATCAGGCAGTGAATTCATAACCATTTCATGTAGGAACTTTCTGTGAGGGAGCTTTTAGAGGTGGACGTCTGGTTCCTATCACCACCACTGTGAACAGTTCTGACTCGGTAAGTTTATCTAGAACGGAGCGTTTCACACCAAACCACTCTGAGCCGCTCTTAACCACTCTGTTTACACTTTAACCAGTTAATTATGGTGGAGTTCCTCTAGAAATGCAGCCTCTTAGTCCATCCGGCCTCTGTCAGCACAGGAACTGAACTTTGTACGTCTCTATTTTGTTCTCCTTTTGGATCCTTTTTATCTATACTGAGGCTTATTTTAAACCTAAAGAATTAGGAACTAAATGTTAATGACCAGAATTGAACTGTGTAAAAAATTTGATTACTTCATAGTTCATAGAAGTAAAAGTCGAAACGTGGTTGCTCAGCACACGTGGCGCTGAGTGGGACCTTCTTCTTTTCTTAGGATAAACAGATGAGAAGTGCTTAAAAACTGTTTCTCTTTTTTTCTACAGCACCATGCAAGACTTTTACAACCTGTGACAGCTGCCTCTCAAATGTGTCGGTGAGCAAATACAGACTATCTTTAATCACACTGCTTTACTTAGTGATGTGAATTTATCTGTCCAGGCTCCGCCCACAAACGGACAATACCTACATTTAGAGTCGGTTATTCATTCAGCCTAATGAGAAACTGTAGAACAGACTCAGTTTATATCACAATACCTACATTTAGAGTCGGTTATTCATTCAGCCTAATGAGAAACTGTAGAACAGACTCAGTTTATATCACAATACCTACATTTAGAGTCAGTTATTCATTCAGCCTAAAGAGAAACTGTAGAACAGACTCAGTTTATATCACAATACCTACATTTAGAGTCAGTTATTCATTCAGCCTAAAGAGAAACTGTAGAACAGACTCAGTTTATATCACAATACCTACATTTAGAGTCGGTTATTCATTCAGCCTAACGAGAAACTGTAGAACAGACTCAGTTTATATCACAATACCTACATTTAGAGTCGGTTATTCATTCAGCCTAATCAGAAACTGTAGAACATAAACCATGTTGTTTATGAATAAAAGTCAAACTTGTGACATTAAAAAAAAGTCAAACTGCTTAAATATATAGAAAGTAAAGCATTGATAACAATAAAAATCAAGGCAGGTCTCCACTGCAACCTTCTTCAGAGGGCTGTCCCCGATTGGTCAGAGGGCTGTCCCTGATTGGTCAGAGGGCTGTCCCCGATTGGTCAGAGGGCTGTCCCCGATTGGTCAGAATGGTTCCTTTTTCCACAATTTCTTAGTTTTGGCCTCATAAATATGTGTAATATGTATATAATAGCAAGACTTGTGTCAACACATTTTGTTTGCAGAACAGACCCATCATATATAATATAAATATAATATGATTTAGTAACACACTGTAAATGTAGTGTGTATAAAAATTGAGTTTAAATTATTTTAATTAAAAAGCTAGAATACAGTAGCAATGAAAGGTGGGCGGAGCTTGGAAAGGTGATAATGAAGATGTAGCTCATGCTTTTACAGTTTACTGGAATTTAAACTCATGGAGATCGCCGTGGCCTCTGCGGTCAGATGTTTTATAGTGCTGTTCTGTTTGACAGTGCCTGTGGTGCCAGACCAACCTCTCCTGTACGGAGTACCCGGTGGCCCACCTGCTCCCCCCGGCCTCCATCTGTACGCTGTCTCAGGCCCGCTGGGGCGTGTGCTGGGGTGAGTACAGTGTCGACTCTCGGACCGCTCTCCAAAACTCAGCTGAAGCGTCACACACAGTAAACAGACCCTTACAGCACTTGGGATGAAAGAAACACCAGCCGGTGCTGCGGCGGTCATCAGGATGAAGCATTCAGGGTCAAATCCCAGCTGTAGCCAGACATTTGGACTGAAGGGTTCAGCTTTACTCTCATTCAGTACACAACGGTTATCTGTAAGGGTGAATCAGGAAATCAGACTGTGTCAGTAACTGGTTCAGTGTGTTTACACGTGGATTTTTGCTTTACATCCAGCCAATAAACTCACAGAATAAGACGAGACGTAAACTTAACGTAAAGCTCAAACTCAGTAGAGCCCAATAGAGAAAGCGAAGGGAAATAAAACGATAAATAAGGCCGTAAAGAGAAAATGACAGATGTTTGCACGTTTGCTTTTTCAGCCGGGATATCGAATGTAGTGTAAGCTGATCTGACAGAAACTGTGTAAACTCCTCTGCTGGAGAGCTGAAGCTCAGTTTGGGTGGCTGCCAGCTCAGTCGCCAGGGCTTGATTTAGTGGAGTAGAGAGTTTGTATCTGTATTTTGGATGAGACAGAAAGAGGAACAGAAAATACACCCACACACACCACAGTAGGAGAAAAGACAGTGTCTCAGCTGGTGGTGTGAATCTGCAGTGCTAATATCCTGTGTGCTATATATATATATATATATATAACACACTTTAAACATTCATTACAAACCATAACATACAGTATAAACCATCTAAATCAATCTGAAGACATTTCAGAGCCTGGAAAACATTCAGAATTGGTTTTCTGGTCCAGAGTTTTGCTTTTGTTTTCAGGGATTTTTGTGAGTATAATTGTCTGTTTAAAACCTCATGAGCATTTTGTAGCATTAAGTGTCAGCTGATAAATAATTTTGGCATTTTTTAAATACAATTGGCATGAAATTGACATGTTAAAATTCTAATTACAATTTAAAATGCAAAAATTATTTTATTTGCCCTCTGTTTGATTTTTGAGATCTGTCCCCAGCAACATGAACTCACTCCACCAATCACTGTTGTCTATGGCAACAGTTAAGCTGACTGAGTCTCACCAGCAAGAACTTTCATCAGATGTCAAAATGTCAGAATGGAAAGCAGCCCATCCATTGTCACTGACAGCTTTGCACTTGAAGACATTCTGCCAGTTTGATCGTTTTTGATCTAACACAGTGGTGGAATTACCAAAAAAAAAAAGAGTCTGTTTTTTATCTTTTAATCTTAAATCTCGACCTCAAATAACCTCAATAACTTGACCTGAAATGTTTATTAATTTAGGACTTTTATTTTGAAATAGGACTAAGAGGCAGCGTTTATAGGCATCAGAGTCTAAATATGGTTTCAGTTTTGATCCTCATACAGTATCAATAAATGTCACACAGCCCTCACGTGACTGCTGATTCAGCCTGCAGTGACCGGCTGGAGGAGCCAGACCTCAGAAGCTGAGTGTGATGGTGGATTTTTATTAAACACCATAATGTAATGACCTCTGAACAGCAGGTACAGATGACCTGGGCAGGAAGGTCCTTTTGAACACCTGTGTTTACCTGTTAAAGACTGCTGCTGCTTTCTGTGCCTCTGTACGTAAATCACAATAACACTGTGTGACCAGCAGGTGGCAGCATTGTGACGAGTGATTCAGAGTGGTTTGGTGTGAAATGGTTCAGATGTCTTTACAGTGGTGGTGATAGGAACCAGGGGTCGCCATGACTACAACACAAATATAGACATTTTATTTACTATCCAGAACCACCAGTGAACCTACACGAGTCTTCTGAGTTTATATGGAATGTTGATGATGGAAAATATGGAAAATCTGAAATAATCAGTTTTCTTTGGGGACTATTTTGCCTCACAGCGCCCTGCATGTATCCCTCCACCATGAATGGAGTTTAAGTTCTCCAAACTATCATAAAACAGTGTCTCAGTCATCAGGCAGTGAATTCATAACCATTTACTGTAGGAACTTTCTGTGAGGGAGCTTTTAGAGGTGGACGTCTGGTTCCTATCACCACCACTGTGAACAGTTTTGACTCGGTAAGTTTATCTAGAACAGAGCGTTTCACACCAAACCACTCTGAACGGCTCTGTTTACACTTTAACCACTTAGCTATGCAGATATTTTGGGAAAATCGGTGGACTTCTCCTGTAATGACTGTCTTTTGACAGCAGGTGTGCCCTCCTGTGCTGTGAGAGTGATAACGTGTGTTTTGTTTCTCTCTGAATGTGTTAGTGAATTTCGAGGCGCTGATCATTGCCATGGCGGTGGTGGGCGGAGTGCTGCTGTTGGGAATCACAGTGTGCTGCTGCTGCTGCTGCTGTCGCTGTCAGCGATCGTCACGGTAACGCCACGTTTCTCCCTCTCTCTCAGTTACACACACACAACATGTAAAATGAATACATCAGAACTAGTTTAAAACATGCATATTTACTTACCATCCCAATATTGACCGTATCACTTCTGATCAATCACATGTCCGTATTTGTGCACACCTGATCGCCTATATTTCAGCGTGTGAATATAGATTTATGTATGCATACGTCAGTTAAACTCTGTGTTCACAGATTTGTTTGTTTAAGCCAGTGTTCGACATCTGTGTTCAGAAAAATCAGTTTCTATCACTTTTGCTTTTCTCCTTTATTGATAAACAAACTCTTCCTCCTCATCCAAACGTGTTTGTGATATTCTGGCTTTTTTTGTAAATTTCGGAATTTTCCATTTGTGCTTTTTTTTATGCAAATTGTTTTAATCCTCATTAAAAAGAGGTGGATGAGGACCCTTTACTATCCCTGTGCATGGTTCTCTCCTGTGTCAGTTCACCGCAGCGAGCTTAATTCCTCTGAAGTATCAGTTCTTGATCTCTTCCACTTCTGTGTCGTGCTTTCAGTTTGAACTTTATACAGTTAGAGGACGCCGTCGTGGCTCTAGTCACTCTCTCTAGAGCAGTGCACAACAGTCATACGACTGGAAAAAAGGTGATACTGAACTTGTAACCCCATGAGTGTTATAAAGATGATTTAATTTAACTTTAAAAAGGTTGCTGAATAATATTAAATATTTATGTGTAATATTTGATTCCCTTTTATCATTAAAACAGAGAGAACTGGGGAATTAGTAAGTCTTTAGACCACATAATGTTCATATGATCCACACAGTCACTCTGACAGACTGTAATACACTACAGGAAGTGTAGGGGGCGATATGGCTTCTACTGTTTCATTTAAAAAGCCTCTATAATGTTCATATGATCCACACAGTCACTCTGACAGACTGTAATACACTACAGGAAGTGTAGGGGGCGATATGGCTTCTACTGTTTCATTTAAAAAGCCTCTATAATGTTCATATGATCCACACAGTCACTCTGACAGACTGTAATACACTACAGGAAGTGCAGGGGGCGATATGGCTTCTACTGTTTCATTTAAAAAGCCTCTATAATGTTCATATGATCCACACAGTCACTCTGACAGACTGTAATACACTACAGGAAGTGTAGGGGGCGATATGGCTTCTACTGTTTCATTTAAAAAGGCTCTATAATGTTCATATGATCCACACAGTCAGCTCTCAGACTGTCAGTCATTAAGCTCTGTCTACTGGCTCCTGTCAGTCATCGGTGTGGGCGGAGCCTCAGTTCCTGTGTCTGTTTATATTCCTGTGTGGTTTTTTTCCTGGTGTTTTCACTCTCGGAGCGTTTTCCGTTAACCCCCCGCCGGAGCTCCTGCTGCTCTCTCTCTGCTCTCTGGTGCTAATTTGGAGAATGTTGCTGTGTAATCTTGTACCGTTTCTTCTAGAACATGTTAAACATCTAATTAGCACTGGATGACATTTGGAGCAGCAGGTCTCTCCGGGCCGAGGACTCAGCGCTCCTCTTTCCTCGTGCGAACTGTGCAGACAGCAGCAGTTTGTGCGGGAAGAGCGACTGAAGGAGGAAAGTGTGGATGTTTTCTTGGTCGTATTGATTCTGCTGAGCGCTCAGGTTTCTCCTCATTTGCAGTCAGCAGTGTGGCGTGCGTTCCTGCGGGAGGCGCTCAGATCCCCCTCGCCGCTTAAACTTTACTGCTGTTCTCAGAGTTTAAGTTCTGTGATTGACGCGTGTGTCTGTGCGCAGGCCGGACCGCGATGAGGAGGAGTTCGCCAGGAGGAGAGAGGAGATCAAACAGCGCTCAGACGACCGGTAAGAGGTTCCAAACCAGCACCCGCAGCACCGAAACACCAACTAAATCAACACACGCTCACATTAAACTGTGCGGAGGTGTTAAATCGACACTCCGGTCAGTAATAAAATTAACCGTCACTGCATCTGTTGTTGCCCTGCGATGGACTGGCGACCTGTCCAGGGTGTATCCTGCCTTCCGCCCAATGACAGCTGGGATAGGCTCCAGCACCCCACCGCGACCCAGAAGGATAAGCGGTTTAGATGATGTATGTATGCGTCTGTTGTAAACATGCCTGTTTGCATCGTACACCGGTGCTTCGAGTGAGATTTCCCAGTTTAAAGACTGGAAAACCCCCTTCTGATGTATCTTGAAGGTGGCAGGCAGGGCTGTGCGGACGCATCTACAGGCATATATACAAATATAAATATTTCAAAAATATGCAATAAGATCAACAGTAATGACTGTACAAGGAGACGCAGGTAACAGCATATAATGACATTACTGAATAAATATGTGCAGTTACTGGTACTGAAATAGTGCCCAGATGTGCCAGATGTGTGATAAGGTGTGCAGAAGTGCAGTACGTACCAGTAGGGTGTCCATCTGTGCAGACAGATAAAATAAACCTATGATTTAGCTTAAGAGATTCAGGCCTCATCTCTCCTCTTCCCTCTTCTCCTCTTCTCTTCTGGCCCCACTGGGAAGAGCTGAAGAGCCTGATGGCTCTGGGGACAAAGGATCTCCTGAGTCTGTCGGTTGAGCAGCTCTGTGACAGCAACCTGCCACTAAACATGCTCCTCCTGTCTGTGATGATGGTGCAGCGGGTGGCCATCATCGTCCATAATGGAGAGCAGTTTGTGCAGTTTTGGTGTTGGAAGTTTGGTATTTTGTATGTTCTTCACAGAAATTGAGTAAAGACCAAGAATCTGAGGTTGAAAAAGTAATAAATCACATCATTTTTTTCTTTTGGTAAACATTGAAAATGGGTCCCACAGACCTGAACAGCACACACGGGTTACCTGCAGCTGCTAAAAATAAAAGGTTCTGAAGTTTAGGATGATTTTAAGGTGGTAAAAAGCTGCGTGTGCTTGATTTAGAGTGGGTTTTGTACTTTCGTGTTTCATTCATATGTTTGAAGAAGCTGCAGCAGCTCCGCTGTTACGTTAACTGTATTTTCATTAGAGCAGGCCGAATTGTTTCCATCGCCCCCTACTGGCCAATTTGGAGGCGCATCACTGAGGGTGTTTTCACACTTGTCCTGAATGCCTGAGTTCACAACCAGGACCGATTCTGGGCTTGTTTGGGGAGGGGGGTTCATTATCACTGGGTTGCTTTCACGCACAGGAATTCCATCGGAACCGTGGATTGATTGCAGAATTCCGTACGTCACTTTCCTGCGAGCAGATCTGCAGAACGGTCAGCACGGCTTCGTCCGTTTACTGCTTTTTATTATTTTCCCTCACTCTCTTAAAAAAGGTGGTTCTTCAAGGGTTCTTTAGTAAAGAAAATCTTTCTATAAAGAACTATGAACACTCAGAGAACCGTCTGCATAATTAAAGGGTTCTATATATCATGATAGGGTTCTGTAGATTGATGGAAAATGTGCATGTTCTATATAGAACTGTCTACAGCACATTCATGCACATTTTCCATCAGTCTGAAGAACCCTGTCATGATGAAAAGAACCCTTTAATTATGCAGACGGTTCTCTGAGTGTTCATAGTTCTTTATAGAAAGATTTTCTTTACTAAAGAACCCTTGAGGAACCATGTTTTTAAAGAGTGTTGGGTACAAACGCTTAAGCAGTGAAGAGCAGCTCTTCTCACCACCGTCACCACGCTTGAAAAGGGAAGCAGTCACATTAGAAAATGAACCAATCACGCGGCGCCGGGAAGCGAAACCCAGACCACGGTTTCAGGATTACTGAGCTCACAGAGCAGGCGGACCTGGATCTGGAAATGGACCTGTAAACACCCTAAAACACACACAGGTTGAAGTGCAGAGAGGGAAGGTGTGCAGAGCTGTTGACCGTTTCTGACCCCCAAAGTGGCCTAACATTGTTTTACCGCTTTAGACCGTAACGCTGTCCCGCGCTGGAATACATCCTCTTTTTATCAGGAGTTGTGTCTCCCGCTCGGAGTGCGCTGCACGGCGTGACGCTGCTGGTTACGGCGCCACTCATCAGTGATATGTTTGGTCATCGTGATGTTCATCCAGATCGAGAGAGCAGAGTGAGGCGGTATCATATGTATCATATGTAGGTCATCGTCTCTCGCCGCGTTTCAGCTCGTTCTGTTTGACAGAGTTTATCAGAGATTAGATTCCCATCCGGAATATTTACCTTTGATGAGCTCCTTGCACAGCTGTAACTATTGAGTCCTGCACAGAGACGCGACATCTGCACCTCTAGTGAAGGAGACGACCCCCGTCTGAGTGTAGCTGTGGTTAAAATTAGTATCTTTAAAATCCTGTTCTTTTCTCCTACAGGAAGGCGGAGAGGAGAGCGAGGCACGATGAAATCCGGAAGAAGTATGGTGAGTAACGTGTTTATATTATAAATATATTGCATCATGTCTTTAACCCATATTTAATCTTTTCTGGATTGTGGTTATATAGTCTTTGGTTGTTTTGGTTGTTTTCAGAAGTGACTGGAATGTATAGAATAGAGCATAAATATAAATATCTGCAAAATGTCCTGTAATAAAATCTGTAGAATATTGATATTGGGATATTGTGCACATAGCTAATATCGTATATAGTTCATGTAGAGGACCAGTGATTAAATATAGATTAAAATATATGTATTAGTGTTCAGAAAGAAACTCCTTGGAAGATAGAGATATATACACACGTGTGCGCGTGTGTGCGTGTGTGCGCGTGTGTGTGTGTGTGTGTGTGTGTGTGTGTGCGTGTGTGCGCGTGTGTGTGTGTGTGTGTGGTGTGTGCGCGTGTGCCCGAAAAATCGCAATGAGTATTTTCCCCTAATCGGTCAGCTCCACCGCTGCGTGCCGTCCCCCTTCAGCGCCGCAGCTCAGTGAGCCACATCATATAAAGCGTCCCGACGCTGAGATGCTTCAGCTCGCCTGTCGGTCATTAGTCAGCTATGATCACTCGTCATGCTGTGTAATTACTGGTCACAGTGATGATGCAGGCGTGTGTTAATGATGAAGTCCAGTGCCGAGTGGAATCGGTCAGTAGTGAGCAGGTCAGCACTCAGGCGCAGGACGTCTTTTAAAGTTTCCGTGATGTTCAAAGAGACGTCAAAGTGACATTCCATTTTTTTTCCATTAGAATTTTTTTGCATAGTTTAGATCAAACAGAACGTATCATAACATATCATGACGAGGTGAGTGATGACGAAAACATGACTGACATATCAAACGTGCTGACGCACACCGCGCCCCCTCCACCAACTTCATGCAAATTAGATGAGCTACGACCAATCAGATTGTTGGTATGTGGCACTGTAACCGAGAGTCACGCCCACCACTCACACACTCCACTCACGTCTGTGTGTGTGTGTGTGTGTGTGTGTGTGTGTGTGTCTGTGTCTGTGTCTGTGTCTGTGTGTGTGTGTGTGTGTGTGTCTGTGTCTGTGTGTGTGTGTGTGTGCTGATCTAATTCAGTTCAGTGATGAGTCTCCGTCCTTCATGTTGAGCTGGACGGTCTCAGAGTGCTGAGCTGGTGTAGCCGAGTGATCTGAGCGCAGTACAGTGTAGTAAGACGTGCCGCCCCGCCCTCCGCGGGGTCAGAAGGTCAGAGCTCACGCAGCCAGCTCCTCCTGGATGATGAATCATCTGAGCTAATTATCGTTGGCACAGCGCTGGATGATTAATGGAGGCCCACACTGCCCCCTGTGAGGGAGAGGAGGAAATGCAAATGAGGTTCAGGGAGACCCTGACCTCAGGGGTGGTCTTTGCATGAGGCAAAATTAGGCAGTCGCCTAACGTCCTCATCAACACACAGATTAGATCTACTGTACGTTAGAAGTAGCTGTTATTTGCGATTGTAGTGATTTATTTTCATTTCAATTCTTTGTCATTTCAAAGCAGCCACAACCACAGAACGATCTGCGAATACAGTGATCATTTCAACCAATAGAATTACAGTAAAAATGTCCAGAAAAAATCCAGTTAAATTATCTTATAACATTCTTACAGCAGTCTGAAAATGAGGAATATCAGATACGACTGGATTTAAGATGATTTTACGAACCAGTACAATTTTTGCAGTGTAGACAGTTGCGCCACCCGGGAGCCCAGACCATCTGTCAATTCATAAATGTGCATCCAGGGGGCGCCGTTCCTGTCTTCTACCCTGAACCCCAGAATCACTTTAGACTACAGAGCAGCTGGCATTCTCGGATTATGTAAATAGAAATTACGACAACGGAGAAAACAAGGTTTTGTTTTTGTTCTGATGGAGACACTCGCCAGGTTTCCATTCAAACATTTCGCAAACGTTACACACATTTACGAAATTTTGGCAGGAAAACGCCGTCGTGTTTCCGTCCTCTGCAGTTCTGTGAATAGACTTTAGATGACGCAGCTGCTGTGATTCGGGGCTGAAACGAGCGAGATGGAGAGATTCAACTCTGCTTTAGTGGAATCATCTTTACAGCTGGTTACTGTCTTTTTACGGTCGTGTTGTTTGCAGCTCAGAGTCGCTGGGCAGGACGAGCAACAGCGCCCCCTAATGAGGGCTGAAATCTCCGACTACACCCACCTCACGTCTGGGAACACAAACGCGCCAGACAGTCTGGAGCTCATTGCGCAGAGACATTTTTCACACCAGCTCTGATCAGCATTTCAGAACAACCTTCAGAAATCTCTGCGCCGCGATTGGACCGTCTGTAGGAATAACAGAGTCATGTGACTTACAGCTTGGTATGGCACTGAGTGCATTTACATGCACTCAATAATCGGATTTCTGCAGTTATCTGATTAAGTGTTCGTATAAACAGCACTCTGATTTCTTAGATCAGAGTAAGGTGTATAAATCTGATTAAGAAATCTGATAAAAAGGCTGGATTTTATCTCAGTAATCAGATTTCTCAGTGCTGTGAACTCTTAATCTGATTTCTTTCGGATTTCTCAGTCTGAGCATGTGCGAAAACAGACGGCGGCACCGGAAATAAGTGAGCAGCGTCGCCGCGAGACGCAGCAAAACACTGTCGGAGTGACGCTGAAACCGAATACATGCTTGAGGAAACGAAGGATTTAAATATTCTTCATCTTCTAGATCAGGGGTGTCCAATCTTTCCATTTCACTCATTTCATCTCAATCTTTTCCAAGGTTTTCATTCCAACAAAGCAGGAGATCAGCTGATCAGCAGTTTGAAGACTGAAACCTACTGATTAAACAAGGGGAAGCAGGTGAGCTTCGGCTTGTTTTGAGGGAAAACCTGCAGCCACACCGACCCTTTGTGGGTAAGATTGGACAGCCCTGCAATAGAGGATCATATTTTCAGCTAAAAAAAAAAAAAAAGCTGCTTCATGAAGTTTGAGTTTTACGTTACGTTTACGTCGCGTCTTCTTCTGTGAGTTTATTGGCTGGTTGTAAAGCAGAAATCTGATTACTGTCTGACTCATGTAGACCTGGAGTTTCACGTTATCTGATTACTCAAGAGCATGTAAACGCGTTGATCAGATTACTGACAAAATCTCAATTTGAAAAACCTAGGCTAAGTATAAAACTCGGATTTTCAAAATTTGCAATAAAACTGACAGAAAACCCACTATGGTTCTGTTAGTGGGTGGGGGGGGTGGAGTCTGTGTGACTCTGATGGTCCAAATCACACTTCACGGGCCAACTTGGGCCAGACTTCAGTCACAGAGTACACTTTTAAACGGGTCGTTAGTGATCTAGAATACATATTTAACACGACCCTCTCAGCCAGCTGTGCTCGGGAAAGTGGGTGATTTGGGGTGGGGGTGGGGGTGGGGTGTGTAGGTGTGTGTGTGTGTGTGTGTGTGTGTGCGTGTGGTGTGACAGTATGATGGATGAAGGCCTGCTCTGTTCCCTCTGCTCTTACAGCACCGATCCACCAACACACACACTCAGATACAGACCTGACTGACCTCTAATCCTCACACAGTGTAACTACAAACAGACGCCAGAGGGGGGCAGCACTGCTGAACAAGTACAAGCAATACAATGTATTTGATCATAATAAAAATGTTTCAAACTGCTGTAGAAATAGTTCCTCCAGTTCCGTTTAGATGCTCAGTGTGTTTTTAATAACAATTCTGATTTTCGCAAAGAAATCGCAATCATTTCCTAAAGAATCGTAACCGAATCGATTCACTGTGAGGTCAGAGATCCCCACCCCGTGTGTGTGAGCTGATTAGAACCCCTCGCGTGTCCTCGGCTCCTCCGGGGAACGACGGAACGAGGAGAAAGCAGAACTCGTCCTCTCTGCATTCCGCTCCTCACCCTCATCCCCTCCTCTCTCCTCTAAACGTACTCTTTTTTTTTTTCTCCTGTTTGGTTTTCAGGCCTCATTCCTGACTCGGATCATCCCTACAGCCGCTTCGAAAACGAGTGAGGCAGGAGCCGCCTGGAGAACCCAGAAGAACGGAGGGGTTCTCCGCAAACGTCTCGGCTCCATCAGCACGTCTGCAGTCATCCTTCAGCTCCTTCATTAATTCCGTATCCGTCTGATTTATTCCACACCTCCTCGGTTCCTCTCAGCACAGCCTCATGATTCCAGCTTGTGTTACAGGAATGATGGGAAAAGTCTCCCAGTTTGGTTTCGTTTCTCTCTGAGTTCTGAGTCACGGCTGAAGTTGCTTTTTGACACTTTATTCACTCCTAAATGTGAAATTTACTCGTTTTCAATCTGTTGTTTTAATCACTCAGCTGTGCTCCTCTTAAACGTTTCCTAATAAAGTGAAGTTGACTTTTACGTCTCTGTGCCGAGTCTTTATCCTCCAGCGCTCCGAGCTGGAAAAGTTTCTCTCAGTGAAGAAATTTAGAGAACTTTGATATTAAACTTTGTGTCCTGAGTAAAAATCCCATCACATCCAGCTCCGCTCAGCTCTGCCTTCAGGGGCCGCTTTCATCTCCGCACAGGAGCGGCTGTCCATACTAACGCTATCCATACTAACGCTATCCATACTAACGCCGTCCATACTAACGCCGTCCATACTAACGCTATCCATACTAACGCTGTCCATACTAACGCTATCCATACTAACACCGTCCATACTAACACCGTCCATACTAACACCGTCCATACTAATGCCGTCCATACTAACACCGTCCATACTAACGCTATCCATACTAACACCGTCCATACTAACGCTATCCATACTAACGCCGTCCATACTAACGCCGTCCATACTAACGCCGTCCATACTAACACCGTCCATACTAACGCTGTCCATACTAACACCGTCCATACTAACACCGTCCATACTAATGCTATCCATACTAACAGCGTCCATACTAACGCTATCCATACTAACACCGTCCATACTAACACCGTCCATACTAACACCGTCCATACTAACGCTATCCATACTAACGCTGTCCATACTAACACCATCCACACTAACACTGTCCATACTAACACCATCCACACTAACACTGTCCATACTAACACCATCTATACTAACACTGTCCATACTAACACCATCTATACTAACACTGTCCATACTAACACCATCTATACTAACACTGTCCATACTAACACCATCCACACTAACACTGTCCATACTAACACCATCTATACTAACACAACATCCATACTAACGCTATCCATACTAACCAACTGTTCATGCTAACACCATACATACTAACATTATCTATAATAACACTATACATACTTACACCATTCCTACTAACACTCTATCCATACTAACACTCTATCCATACTAACACTCTATCCATACTAACACTCTATCCATACTAACACTATCCATACTAACACTATCCATACTAACACCATTTCAGTCCCAGTTTAGATAAAACCCTGTGTGCTCAGAGTTGTAATGGCCTTATTCTGCAGTTCCCCCTGTAAAAGTTTGTTGAGCTGCTATTGAGCAATGAGGGGTGAAAGGGAAGAGCAAGAGCCCGCTGCTGTGAAAAACTATTCACACCCCTCCAAAAAGACAGCCAATGAACACACAGCATTTAAACACACATTTATAAATGTTTACTTGCTTGCTCACGTGTGAAGACCAGAGTCCAGTTTTGTAATTAATGCACATTTCCATCTAAATATTCCTTCAACATTATTGAAGATAAATGCCTCATTAGTCCGAGTCGTCGTTTGCTGCCTCTGCCTTTACACGGTGAAGAACCACATCTGGAAAGTTTAAACAAACTTCTGTAGAGGACTGAAGCTCCCAGCTGCTGTCAGGGATGAGGAGAGGCGGGCGAGCGAGGCTGTGTTTAGCAGTGTGAGTGTTGTTAAAGTGCTGCGTTGTCTAACAGTGACAGCGGTGGGGGGCAGTAATTAGACCCTCAGTGCTCTTCAGTTTATGTTACTGCGTTCTGGAAAAACAGATTCTTCCTCCAGACGCGGCTCAGAGCTCCACTGAGCCTCTAACGTTCCAGCCTGAGCTCCAAACACGCCCCACAGCCTCCTTCAGACCGGGGCTCCAATCACGGTGGGGGGTCTGGTGGTAAAAGTCTGATTATGAAGTGACCATCATATTTATAGATGACATTTTCATATTTGTTGTAAGGGTTGCCCCTTCGATTTCGGTCATTTTGTTGGTAAATATTGTCAGACTGGATTCTTAACTTTACTATAAGTGATTTTTACATTTGTAAGCTGATAAAAAGACACAGCAAGTAGGTCTAATTAGTATGGATAGAGTGTTAGTATAGATAGTGTTAGTATGGATGGTGTTAGTATGGTTAGAGCGTTAGTATGGATAGGGCTTTAGTATTGATAGGGTGTGGATAAGGTGTTAGTATTGATAGTGTTAGTATTGATGGTGTTAGTATAGACAGAATGTTGCTATAGATGGTGTTAGTATGGATAATGTTAGTATGGATAGAGTTTTAGTATAGATAATGTTAGTATGGATAGGGTTTTAGTATAGATAATGTTAGTATGGATAGGGTGTTAGTATGGATGGGGTGTTAGTATGGATAGGGTTTTAGTATGGATCAAATTAGTATGGATAGGGTGTTAGTATGGATAGAGTGTTAGTATGGATGGGGTGTTAGTATGGGCAGGGTGTTAGTATGGATAGGGTGTTAGTATGGGCAGGGTGTTAGTATGGATAGGGTTTTAGTATGGATGGGGTGTTAGTATGGACAGAGTGTTAGTATGGATAGGGTGTTAGTATGGATGGGGTGTTAGTATGGACGGGGTGTTAGTATGGATAGGGTTTTAGTATGGATGGGGTGTTAGTATGGATGGGGTGTTAGTATGGATGGGGTGTTAGTATGGATAGGGTGTTAGCATGGATGGGGTGTTAGTATGGATGGGGTGTTAGTATGGATGGGGTGTTAGTATGGATAGGGTGTTAGTATGGATGGGGTGTTAGTATGGACGGGGTGTTAGTATGGATAGGGTGTTAGTATGGATGGGGTGTTAGTATGGACGGGGTGTTAGTATGGACGGGGTGTTAGTATGGATAGGGTGTTAGTATGGACGGGGTGTTAGTATGGATAGGGTGTTAGTATGGACGGGGTGTATGTCTCGATCAATGTGATAATATCTTTGGTGCCTCATCATCTGAAGGCTGACCTACTGCTGCTCACTGGTCTTCTAATGTTGACCATCAGGTTCTTCAACTGATCCAGAAAGTGATCCAGTCGCTCCACCTCTGCGTTCCCTGCAGCTGCATCAGAGACAGATCTAAAACCCTGATTCTCACCTACAACCCAAAACTGGACCAGCCCCTCCTCCCCTGAGAGCAGTGGGCCAAGCTCGATCCGTACCTCGAGGCCTTCGAGCTTCAACATGCACAGAACACGAGCGTCCAGGCTCTTCTCTGTGCTGGAGCCCAGGAGTCCCTCACACTGAAGAACCATCTCTCTGTGAAGAACCGGAATGAACTCTAATCTACACGCTTAAAAAAGATGGTTCTTCAAGGGTTCTTTAGTGAAGGTGATGGTTCTGTTTAGAGTGGCATGTGTAAATGGTTCTCTGCATGGTGAAATAGTTCTTCTGATTGATGGAGAACGTGTTGTATATGGTTCTATATAGCACCAAAAAGGATTGACATTGTAACAATAGAAGAACCCTTTTTGGGGGTATACATTTTCAAAAAGGTTCTTTATAGAACCATATACAACAGAATATATAGAACCATATAGAACACAATATCTAGAACAATATACAACACATTCTTAATCCATCAGAAGAGCCATTTGACCATGCAGAGAATGTGAACATGCAAATGGTTCTATGTAGCACTCAGACCCATCGCTTTTACTAAAGAACCCCTGAAGAACCATCTTTTTGAAGTGTGTTACATGTAAACATTATTACAATTTCAAAAACAAATAAACTATTATTATTATTATTATTATTATACATACATCATCTAAACCACTTATCCTTCTGGGTCACGGTGGGGTGCTGGAGCCTATCCCAGCTGTCATCGGGCAGAAGGCAGGATACACCCTGGACAGGTCGCCAGTCCATCGCAGGGCAATATTATTATTATTATTATTATTATTATTATTATATCTTATTTTACTATAAACCTCTTCTACATCACAAGCGGGTGTGTCCTAATGATTGACAGCTGAATCTACTAATCACAGCCTCCGTTTCTCCTGCCTATGGGCGGAGCTTATTCAGAACACGTTTCCTCCGCTGCGGCCAATCAGAGCGCAGCGCGAGCAGCAGCACGGAGCGGCAGAGAGAAAGAAAGAGAAAGAGAGGAGGAGGAGGAGCAGGAGGAGCAGGAGGAGCGGTGCTGCTGCTCCGAGGTTTAATCTGAATATGTTTTAATAATTGTCTCATTCTGATCCCTCAGCGCTGGTCATTGCCCGGATGTGTGATGTGAGGGCAGTAGGAGGATGAGGAGTCCGGCTGTGGACGGCAGCGGTCACTTCTTCTTCTTCTTCAGCTGGATTTGACCACACAGACAGACAGACAGACAGACAGACAGGAGATCCCGGAGAGACCGAGCAGGATGAAGAAGCTCCGGAGAACTTTGTCGGACAGCTTCAGCCGCATCGGTGAGCGCGAGCGCACACACACACACACTAAACTACAGCAACTCCACAATGGAGCTCAACTCAGCTTCTTCCAATTTTCCGTTCCACCTTAAATGGTGCAGCTGTTACACTCTGGCGGCTGAGCAGCCAACGGAACAGCTGCACTATTTAAGGTGGAACGGAAAATTCGAACAACTTCAGCTTTGCATTGAAGACCGCCGCGAGCGCGAGGAAAGGAAAGCGCTCTCTGGTCTCTCTGGTGAGGATGAGGAGGAGCACGAGCCTCATTAGCCGCTCGCGTGGACTCAGTCTCGAGTTAAACACTTTGCGTCTCTCGTTGTTTCGTTTTCCAGCTGTGCGGTGCTTTTCAGTTTCCCCGAATGTCCAGATGTGCAGCTCTGCATCGTCTGGCTCTGATTTTCTGCGTGGCGGTTTGGCGGTTTTGCTCTGTTGTGCTGCTCTTCCTGTGGTTCTATACAGGTTGTGTTTTTATAGTTCGCAGTTCTGCATTATGTTAAACATTTCACAGCTTTTTCTGAATCTGCATGTTGTGGCTGTGTTTCGGACCGGGGTGTCCAGTCTTATCCACAGAGTGTTGGTGTAGCTGCATTTTTTCATTTCAGCCGAGCAGGAGAACCAGGAGAACCAGGAGAACCCGTGATCAGCTCAGTCAGACTGAGACCAGCTGATTGAACGAGTGGAATCAGCTGTGCTCAGATCTGTTGGAGTGAAAACCTGCAGCCACTTCAGCTTTTACAGTTTATCATTTACATTTGCTTAACCCCAGTGGTCATCAGCCGTCCTTCTGCTGAACCTTGTCCAGACTTTATCTTCGTTCCTTATCCACCGCGGCTGATCCGTTCAAGAAGTATTGATTGCTGGTCAGGTGGGCTGGATTTGGGCTGATGGTGAGGGCTGCAGGTCAGGAGCAGAGCTGGAGGGCAGAGCTTTACTCTGCGGCTTTGCTTTGTTGTTGTCTTTGTTGTTTGTTTGTTGTTGTTGTTGTGCAGTTTTACATTAAACATACTCAGCTGTGCAGCTTTGAATGGCTTTAGATATTTATGTATTACGGTTTTGCATTCAAAGGCTGCACGTTTACGCTCTGCAGCTCTGCTGTGACCTCCTGGACCTGCGCTGGACAACAGAGCTGCATCACAGCACTGACCGTTCACTCACCACTTCAGATCGGAATCTTTATTAGCAGAGTACAAGACAAACAAGGAATTTGTTTCTTTAGTAAAGAAATTGGTTCTATATAGAACCATGAACACTCAAAGAACCCTTTGCATCATGAAAGGGTTCTTCAGACTGATGGAGAATGTGCTGTACGTGGTGCTATTTAGAGCCTGTTTGAAAAGGTTCTGTATAGCAAAAGGGAACTTCTGCTGTTACGATGTCAGGCTTGTCACAGTAGAAGAACTCTTTTTGGTGCTATATAGAACCCTTTTCTAAAAGGCTCTATGTAGAACCATCTACAGCACGTTCTCTCGTGATTTTGTGAGGTGCGCCCTAGCCGGCGGTGCCGAGGCGCTCGTCTGCGGTGGAGGTCCGGAGAGCCAGAGAGATTTCCAATCACACGTGACTTTTGATTGTAGTCTTTGGGAAACCGGAGGTCTGATCTTTGAAGCTCTGTAGATCAGTGGAGAAATGATAGAAGGGAGCACAACTCCACCGGTGGGCAGAGTGGGATGCACCCTTTCTATTGAGCTGGATGGAGTTTGTAGCCTTCAGGAAACCAGAGATAAGGACCCTGAAATCACCAGGCTCCTCACCTGCTGTCTTCTCTGAGGCGTCCATGTCGTTAGGCTGTGTTCACATTACCAGGCTGAAGTGGCACAAATCTGATTTCTCCCTGCAATGTGACTCAGATCTGATGTTTTCAGAGCTGTGTGGACACACAAATCTGATCGTTTCAAATCCGACCAGATCCACTTTCATATATGGTATTTGTGGCTGTGTGACCATAATGAGGAGCTCAGATCAGAATTCATGTTTCTTCCACTGCGCGTTCTCCATCATTCAGCGTTACAGCGCTGAACAGAGGATAAAGCCTGTAAACGGTGGAAAAGCAGCTCATCTCACCTTTTTCACCTTCACCTCTAATAGTGAAGCTGAGAGCCAATCAGAGCTGATTATGTTCACAGTGAAGACTCAGCTGGTCAGTTTGCTGTTTGTCGTTTCAGGGCGCCGGTTCACATTAAGGACAGATCTGAGTCTCTTACCTAAACGAGTGAACCATCATGTTAGAGAGATCAGATCTGAGTGAAACATCAGATTTGAGCAATGAGGCTGGTGTGTGTGTGTGTGTGTGTGTGTGTGTGTGTGTGTGTGTGTGTGTGTGTACATACATACATGTTAGGGGCGATATGGCAAAAATATTATGTTACAATACATTGAGACGTTTTCATGATTACATTATGTTACGTTTAGTTTTTCTGAGATTTAGTAGGTTTGAACAGACAAACTTATTAAATCTGTAGTTTATAAAACATGTAGTTCCACATATAAAATACTAATAATAAGGATTATAATAATCATAATCATAATAATAATAATAACTCCGGTTTCCTCCCACAGTCCAAAAACATGCAGTCAGGCTGATTGGACAGGCTAAATTGCCCCTAGGTGTGACTGTGTATGTCTGTCTGTCTGTCTGTCTGCCCTGTGATGGACTGGCGACCTGTCCAGGGTGTATCCAGCCTTCCGCCCAATGACAGCTGGGATAGGCTCCAGCACCCTCACCGCGACCCAGAAGGATAAGCGGTTTAGATGATGGATGGATGGATGATAATAATAATAATAATAATAATAATAAACCTCCAACTGTAGTTTTTTAATTGATTGTGTTTCAAACTGCACTGGGCTAAATCTAATTAAACAGGCCTAATTGTGCTCACTTAGTGATGAAACATGTAGTCAGTCAGTGTTTCTTAAATACTGACATGCTCAGAAAAGCAACCCTGTTATAGACATTTATATTGAAATGCATTGACAAATATGAAATTTCATCAGTGTTGCTTTATCGTGTCTGTTTCTGGCGCGATGTTCAACATGAGGGACGTTTTTCTTCCTCTCTGAAAGTGAGAACGCTTTCAGCTTCTGTGGCTTCTGTTTCTTGTGGTGTCAGAAAGCTGTCATCACACGGCTGCTTCTGCTGGAAACGCCACGAAATGCTGCAGACGAGTCAGCAGAGCGATCACAAGTGTTTACAAGTCCAGATCAGTCTCGAACGGCCAGTATCGGCCTGCACTGCCCACTTTAATCAGGCAGATCTCAGACTGACTGAGACAGGGCAGTCGGACTGTTTACATCATCACAGCTCAGACTGTCTTACACTAACGTTGAGCTGCTGATGTGCATGTAAACATAGTTAATGTGGACCAGCTGAGGGGTCATCGAAAAGTTTTGGGTGTCCTGCAGACTTTCTTCAGGATTAAAGAGGTAGTTTGTCCAAAAATACAGTTTTCCCACTTTGGGAGGCAGAGTGGGCACTGCGACGCAGATGGGTGGAGTGGGTGTGATTGTCTGAGCGTCCAGAGAGCCGAACTCCTCCTGTGTTCAAGTAAACTAATATATAAAGCCGAAGTGGGAAAGTGAACATGCACCGTCGTTAGCTTGGTGCTAGGATAACACTAAAAACCCATAGACAGGCTAACAGAAATTAGCATTATTGTAGCTATAGTGTTTTCTGATGTAGACACTGTGTTTGTATGGGCCCTTGTTCTTGGGGCCCTGGGATAATGAAAATCCTGTGTTCCTGGGGCCCTGAGTTTGTAGGGGCCCTTTGTTCTTGAGGCCCTGTGTTGATGGGGGCCCTTAGTTCCTGAGGCCATGTGTTTGTGGGAAACCCTTTGTTGCCTGGGCCCTGTGTTCAGGGGGGCCCTTTGTTGCCTGGGCCCTGTGTTCAGGGGGGCCCTTTGTTGCCTGGGCCCTGTGTTCAGGGGGGCCCTTTGTTGCCAGGGCCCTGTGTTCAGGGGGGCCCTTTGTTGCCAGGGCCCTGTGTTCAGGGGGGCCCTTTTTTCCCAGGGCCCTGTGTTTGCAGGGGCCCTTGTTTTTGGGGTCCTGTGTTTGCAGGGGCCCTGTGTTCCTGGGGCTCTGTGTTCTACAGAGCTCTAATTTTGTTCTAAACAGGTTGATTTGACTCAGATGAATAAAGGTTCTCCAGTAGAACTGTTTCAGCTCCTGCTGCGCTGCCCCAAAATCACAACAGCTGTTTATAAACTCTAAAGGAAAAAAAGCCCAGTCGTTTGAGCAGTGGGTGTTTTCATAGCATAAGCTCCACCCACTTTACTCTGCTGGGACACAGACTAATTTGCATATTCATTTAGTTAATGAACGGATATTTGCAGTGAAGGAATAAAAACAGGCCTTTCAAAGCAGTTTCTTTCTAGATTTTATAAGCCCCTCCCACCTTCAGGATGCATCATCAGAAGGGGGTTTTCCTCGGCCGTGGCCCTGAATCTCTCCGTGTAGAGGCTCCTGTGAGGCGGTAAGAGGACAGCAGCCACGTTAACAGCAGACCTATCAGCGGTTAGATTTGAGTTTTGGCTGGAGTGTCCCTTTAAAGCCTCTGTCAGAATGAGCTTTGTGGCCGTTCAGCTGAAATGAGCTCGTTTGTGTGGCGTCTGTTGTGAGTGGAGGAATTTAAAGGTGTAACAGCTCCACTGTGTGAGTCGTTGTGTGGCTCAGTGACTGTAACTGCTCTCCAGCTCAGAACAATAACAGAGATGAATAAATCATTTTGTAAATTAGCTGAAAGAAAGCCGCTCCTCAGAGACGGACAGACGGACAGACGGACAGACGGAGGGTGGTTTTCAGCACTGCAGCTGTTTTGGCTTTAGCCGCTGATTGTTTTCATGATTGTGTTGTAATTAAATGACGCGTGCAGATGAAAGCGTGAGATGAGGAATGTGCTGCTGACCGGCATCGTTATCAGGAGGCTGTAATTGGATGTGAACAGGAGTCCAGTAGTTTGTGTTGCGTGTGGTATTTTCCTTTCGTCCAGCCAGGTTCGGCTCGGTCACATTCAGAGCTTCCTAACGGCTCCGGAGTGGACGGATGTGATTAAAGGGCCTGTATCTTACATATTTCTTCCCTCCTGAGCTCCTGTAATGCTCCATATGTCCAAATACACTATATCACTGCTGTTGGAAGCAAAAAACATACTTTACTTTTACTGTAAGTCAACGGAACCAGACTTTTTTTTCTTTTGTCCATTTATCATGAACTTTACGTTCTATGTGAAGAGCAACAGGCATTTTCAAACTATGTCAAAAACTGAAAAACAACAAAAATGGAGACACGAGGTTTTGTTCTGACAGCAGCAATATGGACAAAAGTATTGGGACACACCTCTTAATCACTGAATTCAGGAGTTTCATTCAGTCTCGTTACCACAGGTGTATAAAATCAAGCTCCCAGCCCTGCAGCCTGACTTTACACACATCAGTGAAAGAGAGGGTCTAAAGAGCTCAGTGGGTTCCAGCGTGGTTCTGTAATAACCATTTCAACAAGTCAGTTCGCGAAGGTTCTTCCCTCCTAGATTTTCCACGATCAGCTGTGAGTGTATTATTGAAGAGTGGAAGCGTTTAGGAACCACAGCAGCTCAGCCACGAAGAGTCTGACCACGTAAAGATGTTCGAATAGAGCATAAAAGACCCCAACGCTCTGATCAATAACTGCAGAGTTCAAACCTCCTCTGGATCAACATCAGCACAGGAACTGCACCGGGAGCTTCACGGCAGGGTTTCCATGGCTGAGCAGCTGCATGAAGCCTTACATCACCAAGCACAATGCAGAGCGTCAGCTGGAGTGGAGTAAAGCGCCGCCACTGGACTCTGGAGCAGTGGAACCGTGTTCTGTGGAGTGACCAACCTTCTCTATCGGTCAGTCTGATGGACGAGTCTGGGTTTGGTGAATGCCAGGAGAACGTTACCTGCCTGACTGCACTGTGCAGCTGTAGAGTTTAGTGGAGGGGGGATGATGATATGGGGCTGTTTTTCAGGGGTTGGTCTAGAACCCTTAGTTCCAGTGAAGGGGAATCTTAATGCTTCAGCAGAACAAGACATTTTGGACAATTGAACACTTCCAACTTTGTGGAACAGTTTGGGGAAGAACCTTTCCTGTTCCAGCATGACTGAGCCCCAGTGACCAAAGCAGCTCCATAAAGGCCTGACTGGGTGAGTTTGGTGTGGAAGAACTTGACTGACCCTCACAGAGCCCTGACCTCAACCCCATCACACACCTTTGGGATGAACTAGAGCGGAGATTGTGAGTCAGGCCCTCTCGTCCAACATCAGTGTCTGACCTCACAGATGCTCTTCTGGATGAATGGGCAGAAATTCCCACAGACTCTCTCCAACATCCTGTAGAAGCTTCCCAGAAGAGTGGAAGCTGTTAGAGCTGCAAAGGGGGACCAGCTCCATATTAATGCCTCTGGATTTAGAATGGGATTCATAAAAGCTCCTGTGGGTGTGATGTGGAGGTGTCCCTAATACTTTTGTCCATATAGTGTAGGTTAAACGCAGCACATGAATAGGAACTGCACTGAAATTTTAGCCACATTTGGGTGTCTCTGTGAAAATGTGTTGACTTATTTTCACTTAGAAAATCAACAAAGCATGTAATTGGACCAAATGTTTGCATACAAGTGTATATGTAAATGAGCTCTGTTCTGATTGGCTGCACAGCCCAGGCTTTGACACTCCTACAGAGTGAATAGGAGGGGCTAAAAATGCTGTAGGCTGAATCCCAGGGTCATCAAAGGAGGGTAACGACATCAGCTGATTAACACAGATGTGATCAATGCTGGCCTTTAGAGAACTTTAGCTGATGTTATCAGCCGAGAGATGAACAGTCGCCCCCTAGCGGAGCTGCAGACCGCCGGTATAACTTCACTCTCTGTTTCTGATTTAAATGACGTTTGAATGGAGAAACATAAACGTTAAATATCAGACTGAATGTCGTGGGTCTGAAAACGACGTCGTGTTTCGACAGACGTGATTCTGTAAGTTTGCTGGTGCAGTTAGTTCAGAGTTCAGCTCCAGTCCTGAAACCCCTGCACTGCATAACTGTGGTTTCCTGGTTAAAATACCTGATATTATTAGCTGATTAATCCCTTCTTGAGCTGAAAGAGGTGAACAGCAGAGAGAGACACTAAACTGTACAGTGCAGCGGCTCCAAACCTGGAGTTAAACACTGAATTAGAGGTCTGTGTGTCTCTCGTCTCTCGGCTTCTGTCGCGTCTTGGAGGTGAATCATTCACAAAGCACAGCGAATGTAAATGTGTGTAAATGTGTTCATGGCTGTTACATCACAAACATGATAAATTCCAAGCTTGTTTTTGCTGCTTTGTCTCCATGTGTGTGTATGGACTGTTTTAAAACTTTTGGAGTTGAAAAACTACATCAAACTCTATTATATTTTAAAAATGTGAGTTGGATGGAGTTTTCAGTGGTTCTGGCCCTTTAAGCTCAGCAGAAAGTTGATTACTGAGCGCTTGGCCGTTCTTCAGCTGCTGGGTCAGTAGTCTGTAAATGAGGAACTGATCTCTCTTTTTTCCTTTGCAGCGTTCAAGAAGGAGGACAGCGGTTTTGATGAGGTAAGTGGAAACACAGGCGTGTTTTTGTGAGCATGGTCAGAGGCGGTTGGAGTCGGCGGTTGGAGCCGGAGGCGCGTTAAAGCGTCAGACTCAGTGAAACGACACCGTCCAGTGTATGTTAACCATTATTGTGATGCAGGTCTTTGGAACACTGATGTCACAGATGGTTGTAATATGCAAATGAGCATCCAATGAGACCAATCACAGCTCCAGATGAGTTTCTGTGGGTGTTTTGATGAATCATTGTATTCATGTAGTCCAACAAAGGGGAATTACTGTGAATTATTGTGAATAAATGGCATGAAAATGCAAAATATTTAGAAATCGTTCACGTTTTTTACACCAAAACTGAAACTGGATGCAGCACAGATTGTTTTATGTTTTTGAGTTGTTGAGTAAAAATGATTTGAGTATAAATAAGTAAATTAATTAAAAGATGATGCATCTTCTTAGTTGTTGCCATGCCAACAGTGAATTGATTGAGTGGTTTGTGAAAGTTCCTAAAATTTGAACAGAGCCTGAATATAGTAGTCACATTCATGAGATATCATGAGGTACGCATCAGCCTTAAATGTTGAATCCCACCAAATCATCCAAAATTCCCCCATAATTCAGTGTGTGAGATGTAAACAGAGAGATTCAGAGTGGTTTGGTGTGAAACGGTTCAGATGTCTATACAGTGGTGGTGATAGGAACCAGGGGTCGCCATGACTACAGTTTATATGGAATGTTGATGATGGAAAATAGTGGAAAATCTGAAATAATAAGTTTTCTTTGGGGACTATTTTGCCTCACAGCGCCCTGCATGTATCCCTCCACCATGAATGGAGTTTAAGTTCTCTAAACTATCATAAAACAGTGTCTCAGTCATCAGGCAGTGAATTCATGACCATTTCATGTAGGAACTTTCTGTGAGGGAGCTTTTAGAGGTGGACGTCTGGTTCCTATCACCACCACTGTGATCAATTCTGGAAGGGTTTGGGAGTGTTGGGGGGGGGGCTTGGGAGAATGAGATTTTGTTGCTGAACTATCGTTTCAGTGCAGTGTGTGTGGTGTTGGTTCCCACACCTGGTGGAACTGAGCTGAATCGACGTGAACTGGAGTGTGCTGAGTGGGACCACCAGCCTCATCTGTGTGTGTGTGTGTGTGTGTGTGTGTGTGTGTGTGTGTGTGTGTGTGTGTGTGTTACCCAGCGGAGAAAAATGTGAAGAATCTGAAAAGGAAAAGAGCCGTTTCCTGTTTCAGAGCGGAGCGTCTCTGAGAGAGCAGCAAACATCTGACCTCTACACACTGAGAGAGAGAGAGACAGTGAGAGAGGGAGAGAGAATGGGGAGGAAGAGAGAGTAATGGGAGAGAGAGAAAGAAGGGAGAGAGGAACTGGGAGAAAGAGAGAGAGAGAGAAGGGGGAGGGAGAAAGGGAGAGAGGGAGAGAGACAGGGAAGAAGAAGAGAGAAACACGAGAGAAAGAAGGAAGGGAGAAAAGAACTGGAAGAGAGAGAGAGAGAGAGAGACTGAGAGAAAAGGGGAAGGGAGAGAGGGAGAAAGGAGAGAGAGGGAAGGAGAGAGACAGACGGGCAAAAAGAAGAGAGAAATGTGAGAGAGAGAAAGAAGGGAAAAAAGAACTGGAAGAGAGAGAGAGAGAGACTGGTAGTAATAGTGTAACAGAAGGGCTCGTTGTGTGTGTGTAATGTTTGCCTGCAGGCTGGTCTGTGGAGCAGGGCAGTGCACATGTGGTGTCTCTCTGACCGTTGTAGTGGTCAGTGTGGTGAAAGTGTGGGAGTTGGTCACTGAAATGATTCTGTAGCCTTAAGAGAGAGAATTCTCTTCAACCCAGTAATATCTGAAATATCACATTTCATTTGGCCTTCGTTCTCTGAGGAAAACACCCCCAACACAGCATCAGAAAGCTCAGTCATCAGGGAGATGCGTATAAATGTAAACATGCAGTATATTAAAACAAACTACCACACTAACACCAAAACTAACACAACTTCAGCAAAAACTGCTAAACCGTACCACAAACTACCAACACGGCAGCAAAACTAACACAACTTCAGCAAAAACTACTAAATGTTACAACAAACTATCAACATGGCAGCAAAAATTCATGGAATATACCAAAAACTACCAAAACTGCAGCAAAAATGACCAAACTATACCACAAACTACCAACATGGCGGCAAAAACTACTAAAACGACAGCAAAAACTGAAGCACTTACCAAAAACTACCAAACCACACAAAAAAACCCCAAAAATACCTAAAATACCTAAAACTAACAAAAATACCAAAGATATTAAACCATACCAAAACTTAAAAACCAAACAAATCAAAAACAGTAGCGTCTGATAAAAAGCTGATTTTCTGATCAGACAGTGTTTTTGTTAATGTTACTCCTGCGCTCAGCCGGTTACTGGAGAACCGAGGTTCCGTTAGAGGATCCTCAGCGTGTCGGAGTGAGGAGCTCCATCACAGTCCGTACGGACGGATCCTTTTACTGACCCGATCGGACGCTGTTATAATACACACGGTATCACAGAGCTCAGATACAGAACCACAGCACGACTCACGGTTCCGGCGTGAACCTGCGTAAATACCTTAATCAGACAGTCCAGACTCTGGTGTGATCGAGTCAGTACAGACACTGTTTTACTCCTGAATAAATCTCTCTCTCTCTCATTATGAATTCTCAGCTGAATTAGCGTCGGCCGCTCTTTCCTCCGTCATTAGTTTGGTGTCAGAGGCTGGAATTAATTCAATAAACTCCCTCCTTCATCATTCCCAGGTTATTCCGCACAGCCGGAGGATCGTCTCTCGCCTGCTTCCTCTCATGTTGGAGGAGGAGAAGAGATCGTCGTGTCTCTGTTTCGGCGCAGACGCGTCTCGGCAGGGCGTTTCTCTGGGAGACGGATGGTGATATTATAATATGCTCCATCATAATCCGGCTCATCGATGCTGAATGTGATAAAGTTCACTCTGATCTGATGTAAAGCGGCTCCCGCGGCGCCTGCGTTCACCAGCGGGGCAGCTTTAGACTGATGTTCAGTGGTGAAAGGAAAGAATGTTTATATCAAATTAGCGCTGCTTTGAATTCTGTGCAAAAATCTGTTAATAATCGCTTTAAATTCATTCTTCCCAGAAGTGCCGGTCGGAGCGGGGCCTTCAGTTCAGGCCTTAAATGCCGTAACGATACGATACGACTTATGATGGTTCTAATTCATGTTCTACACGTTTTAAAAAATGGATGGAAAAAACTGAAATTTGAAAAAGAGCCAAAATATTGCAAAGGAATGTTTTTTATGGTGGATGAGGTGAAAAGTTTGATGAAGAAATGCAGTGAAAAGTTGTTTTTTGTTGACGCACCTCCTTAAAGTTTTTTAGTAAAGTGGATGGTGAATGGTTCTAATTAGAACCATGAGTAACGTTCATGATTAAATGGTTCTTTGCACGGAGAAATCATTCGTCAGACTGATGGAGAACGTGTCGTGGTTTTATATAGCACCTTTTTGAAAATGGTTCTCTACAGCACCAGGAAGGGTTCTGTTGTTGTTACGATGTCAAACTTTTGAGCATAAATATTTCTGCCTACATGTTTTACTTCATCGTTTTAATGAATGAACGTCAACGTTACCAAGCAAACCTGATGGAAAGGAGGCCCAGTAGGCTGGACTGTTTACAGTGCTATAAAGAATGAAATGAAAAGAAACCAAAATATTTCCACCCCTGTTATTTTATTCTGTAAAGTGTGGATGGGTCAGAGGTCAGATACAGTAATGTAAACGTCCCAAAGTCCCAGAGCTCAGCGTTCCCTCCGGAGGGAGAGACTCTCTCCCACAGAACCCACTTTTCTCAGCTGCCTGAAACGCCTCGTTGGAATTCCAGCCCTTTTCCTTTGTTAGAGGATGACATCATCTCGTAACACAGTCCTTACTGCCCACCTACTGGCGAGCTCGTCCCCCTCACACAGCGGCTACTAGAGCGGGAAGAGTGTGTTCAGTGCTGTAGCGTGTGGAGAAGACGCTGACCGGACTTTCAGGATCCACTCTGGATCAAACTGATCCGGCAGAACCGACGCCACTGGAGAAACAGCCACAGTGGAGTTAACAGGGTCTGTCTGCAGACTGCAGGACAGGGGCGGAACATGGAGGGGCAGAACCGCCTTCGAGGCTGACCAATCAGAGCAGAGCGGGCGAGCTGACAAGTCAGAGAACGCTGGATCATCTGGAGGCGGGGCTTAAACACACAGGAGCTAACACAGGAGTTTCTGCCCAGCCTTTTAACTGTATGTCCATGGTGGATCAGTTAGGGCTCAGCAGTATTACAGTGTTGTGATAAATGATGTCACAATACAATACATTTTCCTTTATGAACATCTCATGTTTATCCTCAGTGCTTGTAGACACTGACCAACTGCATGTTTCATGATAAAGAGAGCAAAATTTGTCCCATTTTCCTGGACTTAGTACCAAATTCGTTTCAGTTAGTACCAGTTCAGTTTTGAATGTAGCTCTACTGATTCTTTTTTCTCGCTTCCAACTGATCAGATGTCTGAAATATTATGACGGATCGTGTATCATCAAGTATTGTGATATTATATTTTTGCCACACTGCCCAGCTCTAGGATGAGTTTCGTATGAGTGAACCGTTTTACATCGATTCGCACTGAAAATTCCACATCACAGGTTTCATCAGGAGCACTGCGCTGCAGGGCTGACTGATCAAAGCCTGATGAGGGTGGAGGCGGGTCAGCTGGATGGAATGATAGAGATCCTCATTCTGGATAACTGTATCGTGAAAAGCATGGATTCCTTCATGTCATTCTCTGGTTTGACTCGTATAAAGAGAGAGGCTGTGCAAAAAGCACCTGGCTGTTTTTTAGGTACTGAAGTAGAGGTGGGCGATATAGCGAATATGTAATATCACAGTACTTTAAGAACTTTTCATGATATGTGATGTCACGATATATATTTTATAACAGAGAGTGCCACGTTTCAAAAAATC